GCGATCTGGATTTCCATTTTCATTGAGTTTTGTTACGCTTTCTGTACTTTTCCTGGTATTTTATCTTTAATGCAATCTAATTTCATGTGCCTTTACTTTCTTGTTATTTCAATTAATTGTCATTTACACTTATGCAAATTTAAGATTATGTATTTAATGTTTTATTTACTTTCTCAGTAATTTATTTACTCGCACGTTTAATTTAATTTCCAGTATTGTCGATTAGTTTTATGTGCACTTTAATTTATATCATTTACTTTTAGTGCAATTTAATTTTATGCATTACTTTGTTGCCTCGATGTTCTTTTACTGCTTTCTTTACTTCTGTTAAGTTTCATCTTCTCAAGTCTTTTTAATATAAAAAATACAAAAATAATACTTTCGATTTCGATATGTATGTTTTATCACGTTTTCCGTGTTTCTAATATAAATAGAATGAAGCGTGAAGAGAAATGGGAAATTGGCAGCGACAACAGAAACATAAGTGAAAAGTCTACCGGAGAACGACGAATCATGAAGTTTCTGGCGATCTGGATTTCCATTTTCATTGAGTTTTGTTACGCTTTCTGTACTTTTCCTGGTATTTTATCTTTAATGCAATCTAATTTCATGTGCCTTTACTTTCTTGTTATTTCAATTCATTGTCATTTACACTTATGCAAGTTTAAGATTATGTATTTAATGTTTTATTTACTTTCTCGATAATTTATTTACTCGCACGTTTAATTTAATTTCTAGTATTGTCGATTAGTTTTATGTGCACTTTAATTTATGTCATTTACTTTTAGTGCAATTTAATTTCATGCATTACTTTGTTGCCTCGATGTTCTTTTACTGCTTTCTTTACTTCTGTTAAGTTTCATCTTCTCGAGTCTTTTTAATATAAAAAATACAAAAATAATACTTTCGATTTTGATATGTATGTTTTATCACGCTTTCCGTGTTTCTAATATACGCGCTTGGTTTCATCTTGTTTTGCTTCGATATTTTTATATTCTCGACTTATATACACTTTTTGATTGAAAAAATGTTTGCTAGCCTAAATAAAAAGATTTTACGTGGTTAAAATTTGGTTAGAACTAAGTCTCTAGGAAATCGAAAACAACCAAAATTTTCACCGAAACATTTTGGATGAATTTGAGTAGAAAACGAGACAAAGTTAGTAAAAAATTGTAATTATTTGAGTTAAAAGAAAAGAATGAAAAATAAAACATGAAAAACTATAATTAATAAAATTTATTTGATTGATTAAAAATAATAAAATAAACTAAAAAATGACTTACATATTTTTATACAATTTTAATAAAAAAAATTACAATGTTATTTAATATAAGTAATTATTTAATAAAATAAATAAACATAAAATTAATTTATATATAAATTAAAAATAAAAATTTCATATTTTATAGATATATATTTTATAATTTATTTTTATAATAATTTATAAGTAATATTAAATTGTAAATTTTTAAAAAAGTTATGGTGTATTTTTTTATAATTTTATATAATAAATTAAAAATATATCATATATTTTTTGGATAATTTTTATGTTTATTTTAAATTTTTTAGCATAATTTTAAAAATAAAATTAATTTTTTAAGTTTATATTAATTTTTTTTATTTTAAGAAATTAATTTCGTGAAAATATTAGATATAGATTTTAAAAAGTTAAAAATTTTATTTATTTTTGTTTTTTATTTATTTTTTATTTTTTATAAATTTATTAATTTTAGTAAAATATAATATTGATGCATTTTTCTACAAATTATATATATATATATATATATATATATATATATATATCATTTACTAAAAATATTTGTGATAAAATTTTATTAATATAATAAATAAGTTAATTATTCTAAAGTTATTATATCTTAAAATAAAAGAAAAAATATATAAAAAACTTTTTTTCTTAAAATATTTTTTAATAAAAAATTTGTACGTCACTTAATTAAGATAAGCATTTTAACTAGGTTAACATCTCATATAAATAATATTTATATATTATTATATATACTAACTTAATATTTAAAAAATAAATAAAATATTCTAGCATAAATAATTTAATTTTAATTTTAATCTTATATTTATTTTAAATTATATTTAATGCTTTCAATAAGATTTTTTTTTAATTTGCTAAACTTAAATTATTTTTATAAGGCAAAAATATTTTGGTTGACATATGTTACGAATTTTTTTTTTATTACATTCATCATATGTGGTAATGTACACGTGAGTTTGTGGAATTTGTACATATGCATATGCACTTTAATTTGATTATAATAAAAATAAAAATAAATATTAGTAATATTTAACGAAATATAATTATGGATATCAATCTAAATACACAAAATGTAAGAAAATAAGTTGAATTTAACCTACCGTAATTTGATTTCATACATTTCTTACTTTTCTATTTTATTGTTTAAATTTTACACATAATATATTTATTTTAAATACCACTAAAATTATTTAATTTATTAAAATGTGTAATTTAAAAATAAATCAAAGTCACAATATTTTAGATTATTGAATTATAGAACATTGAAAATATTAAAATCATGTTTGAATTTTATAAATAATTTATTTTAAAATAAGTTAAAGTTTCTTTTAAAAAAAATCATAGTTTATCCAAATAACTTGTTTGTATTGTGAAAAGAAAAATATCTCTTCTTACAATAAAAAAAAATCAATCACTACTTATTTATAATTTTAATTGATTTTAAAATACTTCATAATTAAATATAATAAAAAATTATCTTATATATAAATAGTTAAAAGAATACTGAAGAGAAAGTCTGGAGAGATTTTTGTAATATATATGTATAACTATTAGTACAAAATTTAGTTTTTTTAAAGAAAAAAGCTTTTTGAAAATCAATTTCAATCTCCTTTTGTATCACCTTACACTAATAAATGAATTGCGAAGAAAAGGAGAAAATATACTTGTAAAGTGGAAGAGAAAAGGAAAAGCATTAATAAAGTTAATTTTAACAACTATTTTAATTCACTTTTCTCATTATGTTGTACGCATATAATTGGTATAAGAATTTGAGAATCTTTCGTAAGTTGTAGCAAAGTAAGATAAGAATAAGGGAATAAAATTAGAAAGGGAAATTTGTATTCACCCTTTACCATATTGACTTTAAACACTTGATAACTTGTAGTGTTTAAAAGAATGATTACTAACTCATCCTCGATGCTCCATCGCAATGTCTCGTTCCTCCGTGTACATGATCATCAACTTGGAAGAATAATGTTGTGATGGTTCTACTAGGTGAACTTGGTTCAACTCATTAGTCGTGCCTACACTTGACTTTTCTCTTATTCTCTTAGTTAATTCATTTACGTCACACCGCACATTATTAAATCGTCACACCATATGCCATACACAAGGTAAGAACGATCTAGAACCAAACATCATTATTTTGACATGGTCATTATTCAACACGTGTGTGTAAAATTGTAACTTCTCAAAGTAATTAATTTTAAATCGTTTGGGTCTAATAGAAAGGAAAGGTGAAAGCAAAACACCAAAATATAAAATGAGAATGAAAAAAAGAGAAGTAAAATAAATAAGAAAAAAAGGGGAAAGTGGAATCAAGATGATGAAGAAGAAGAGAGTTGTGAAATGGAAAAGTGTAGACAATGGAGATGAAGAACCACGCTCATGCTCAGACACGAAACCTTTTTCCTCGTTTAAGGAATCTAATCCTATAATCATCGCCCTGGCACCAAACAGTAAAATAACATTCCTAAACTCTTTTTTTTTTTTTAATATTAAATAATTTCACGTTCAAATCAAACTCGGCGTCTCTTCTATGACCGTCAATGGTCAACACTCCTATTTACTTTTTTTTTAATTTATGATGAGTATTTATTTTTATCATTTTTTATATATTATTTGTAAATGCGCTTTAACTTTTAATAATAAATTTATTATACATATAAACGAATGTTAAAATACAAACTTTATTTAACATCATAGAAATGCCAACATCGTGTGTTTCCTTAGGCTAGATTTTATAATTAAAATACTCACTCATTCTTTGTCAAATTCAAAACGCAAAATCATTCTTAATTAACACTATCTTCCCCTGCAAGTCACCAATAATACTCAATCTTCAACCTTTTGTATTTTTAGAAAATTATTCTCTCTAGTTCTGACTTACACTCTGTTCTAATTCATTTTTACAAATTAATGTTTACTCAGTTTAATGTAACATAAATTAACATTTTGTTTTAATCACGTAAAAATTTGATTACCTTTTTTGGATCTTTGAAATTTAATTATAATTTCTTTTATCTTAATTTCATCAAACATTCACAAAAATTCATGAAAAGTCAGACATAACAAGTTAATAAATAAATACAATAATCAATAAAAAATGGATTACGATGACTTAATAAATATTATTTTTGAGTGTTATTTTACCTTAATTGTCTGGTTAAAGGATATTTGTGAAATTATTATTATTATTATTCTAAGAACAACAATGCAAAAAAAAAAAAATATTGGCTAAAATTACAACAGAAGATGATAATGCTACAATAAGAAAAAAAGATTGAGTAATTAAAGTAATACAATTAAAACTGTACAGCCATGAAAAACTTAAAATCATTGAAGTGTTACTTAGAGTTATAACAAATATTTATAATGAAATCAATTGAAATTGAACACAAAATAGAAGTTCATTCGAGTATAGGAAAATGTGAGGTGGGATTTAGTATTTACCAAGTTTGAACAAGAAAGAATAATGAAAATGAAATTAAAATAAAAAAAAAGTGAGAAGTTGCCATGTATATTCAGATTAGGTTATAACGCGTGCAGAATCAAACACGCAACGTTCCTCATTTCCTTCGCAGTTCACATTCACACACAGAGAGAGACACATACATACACGCTCCTCTCTCTCTCTCTCTCTCTCTCTTTATATTCACGCTCTTCCCTTCGACCTTTCCCACACGCACTCTTTCTCTGTCTCTTTGGTCAAAACATGAATTCGGACACGCAACACGGAACGCCGTCGTATTGGTGCTACAGCTGCACTCGCTTTGTTCACCTCTCATCGCAATCTACCATCGCCTGTCCCCACTGCCAGAGAGGCTTTGTCGAAGAGATCCGCGCCGACGCCTCGCCGCGTCACCGTCTTAGCCCTTTCCCCGACAACCATCTTTCTCTCCGCCGACAGGGCTTCCGCCGCCGTCGCCGCGACGCCGCCGGCAGCCGCTCTCCCTTCAACCCTGTCATCGTGCTTCGCGGCCCCGGCGATGACTCCGCCGCCGAACAAGAAGGTGCCAGCACCTTTGAGCTCTTCTACGATGATGGCGATGGCACTGGACTTCGCCCCCTCCCGCCCACCATGTCGGAGTTCCTCCTCGGCTCCGGCTTCGATCGCCTCCTCGAGCAGTTCGCGCAGATCGAGATGAACGGCTTCGGCCGCCCGGAGAATCCACCGGCGTCCAAGGCGGCGATCGAGTCCATGCCGACGATTGAGATCGGCGAAGCGCAGGTCCATATTGACGCTCACTGCGCCGTGTGTAAGGAGGCGTTTGAGCTCCACGCGGAGGCGCGTGAGTTACCCTGCAAACACATTTACCACTCCGATTGCATCCTCCCGTGGCTTTCCATGCGGAACTCGTGCCCGGTGTGCCGCCACGAGCTTCCTTCCGATTTGGAAACTAGGGTTCCGAGTCAGATCGACGAGGAGGCGATAGGGTTAACTATCTGGAGGCTTCCCGGCGGGGGATTTGCCGTGGGGCGTTTTTCCGGTGGCCGGAGAGCCGGCGAGAATAATTTCCCGGTGGTGTACACGGAGATGGACGGTGGGCTGAACACGAACGGAGCTCCAAGGAGGATTTCTCGGTCGGTGAGAAGCAACAGGGTTAGGGAGAGTCGAGGGTTTGGTAGGGTTATTCGCAATTTCTTTTCATTCTTTGGAAGAATCGGTTCTAGAAACTCTTCTTCTTCGTCGCTCTCATCTTCTGAACATGCTTCTATGAGTAGAAGCCGCAGTCAAGCGAGTTCAGTCTTCAATAGAAGCTCGCGGAGCAGAACCTTTGTCTTGGATGATTAATTGGTGATGGCAATTTTGCAAACAATAGTAATACTTTTTGAATTTTTTTTATTTTGGGTCGTGAGATTCATACTGTAAATAGCATGTAACTAGCAACTCTAGAAGGAAGACTAGTTTCCCTCTCTATGGGAGTCTAGTGGTTTGATTCATGATCAATAGAAGGAAGTGTGCTATTTTTTTGGCCCCTTGGATCAAACATTGTGTGCTTTCAAGTTGACACCAGTAACTCTGGCACTGGACTCTGCATGGCAACAAGATTGATGCTTTGTTCCCCGTGAACTGAATTATTTGATTTGTTTATAATATCATCTTAGTCCTGTATTTCTGAGGATTCTTTAGGGATTGTGTTTTTTGAGATGCCTCTTTCAACTTGCAGCACCATAATGTTTGACCAATGTGCCAATGATAATAATTCACTTTTTCCTGTGTGATCCCTTTTTAATTGATTGGGAATGAAAATGGGAATGGGAAGAGGATGCTGCATAGGATTTGCAATTGGAATGAACAGAACAGCACCTGAATTATTCTATTTAGCTGGGTAATCATAATTATCTGAAATTGTATAATTTCAAATTGCTTCGTGCCTTTATGCAGCACTTTTGGTCTATTATTGAGCTAGTTGTTGAATGCATGAAGTATTCCCATGTTTCACCTTTTCTCATGGCAACTTGATTAAAGGATAAAAGCTGTTATTTACTATCCTTATCTGCTCTTTTTCTTTTGGTTTAATGGGTGTGCTCAATTCAGGTATCTCTGATAGTTCCCCTTTCGCGGTGGCGTGGATTCCATATAGGGTTTCCTTTCTTTGATTTATGTGCTTAAATTTTTCAATTGTTGCTGTTGCCACACTAGAAGGTGCTGGTTAATGGAACTAGAAAATTCTTCATAGATCCAACATTTTGTCTGATTCGAAAACTTTCTAGCTCTTCAATTTGGACAATTCTGGATATTGGCAGCTCAAGTTTAAGTTTAAAGTCTTCGCAACCCCGAATTTTACAGTTTTGAGCTTGAAAGCAACTTTACGAAGCTACGAGCCTTCTAAAACCCGTTTGGGAATTAGAAGATGCAGTCTGGTCTCATTTTAATTTAATTTATACAATTTCCAAAATTTTTAAAACATCTCAAACTCATAATGTTATGAAATTAGGCCAAGTTATGATTGATAAATTTACACTAAATAGTTTCTTATTTTTTTAAATTCTGGAATGAGACTTGTGATTTTGTGAATTGTGAAAAATATGTTTTTCATCCCATTACAAATTAGTTATTTTATTAAGTTTTTAATTATCGTCAATTAATATTATGTCATAGACCTAATTAAAAGCACATATATGTGGTAATTAATTATTTATTATTGTCTGAAATAATTAAAGTATGAATAGTATATATAAGCATTAAAAAAATGTAACGTAAATATAATTAGTGAAAATTTGATTTTTTAAATATAATTTTGATTGGTATAATCAAGTTTTGTATGTTTTAAGAAATTTATGATTTATATGTTTATAATAAATAAATGATGTTATGAGCTATCTTTATAAGTTACTTCATTTATTGTATGAATACATTGTTGGGGACATCTCTTCATTAATTACTATTCATGTTTATCAACTAGATTACTCCAAACTCTCTTCCTCCAAATATCAATTAAATAAACAAAAACCAAATCTAAAAAAAATGTCCATTTATTCTGATAATTTTCTCAAAACAAATCATTATGAATGTATGAAACTAGACAAAAGAAAAAATTAACCTATTTTATCCAACCAATAAGTAAAATTTAGGAAAAAAAGAAACTACGTGTACGGTAAAAAATTTAATTAAAATGAGATGATTATTTATGGATCGTTCACTGGATATATATTAGAAGAAAATAATTTTCTTACTCGTATTTTTAATTCCCTTGTTTAAGCAAATATATCAATTTAAATATTAAATTTTTGGCACAGATAATCATCATATTAAGGTAATCTATTTGTGTAAAATAGTGGATCAAATATAAATTTTTCTTGTTTTAAATATATATTCAAAAAGTGATCCGTAAAATAGATTTTATTAAATCCTAAACAATATTGTACAATATATAAATTATCCTATTGTACAATATATAAATAATGTTGTACAATATATAAATTATCTCATTAAATCCTATTTTCAAAAAATAAACATATAATTTACTAGTTAACTTTAAATTTTTGTTATTAATATAATGATAAAAAAATAATTATTCAAGAGAGCAAAAGAAAACGAATCAATTAGACTTAAAAAGTTTTTTTTATTATTAAAAATTATAAGAGAGTATATAGTATTTTCATGTATTTAAACATTTATTATAAAAAAAGTAATATATTTTTATATCATGAAATGTTTCGAATGGTGGCAGTGTCGGTGTTGGTTGTAAGCTTCTATCGGCGTAAGTTGCACCTTTCTGCATGCGATCAAGGCGTGGCACTTCCACCATAGCGACCCCATAATTAGCAATTTCACGTGGCATCTTCAAAACTCTACACTTCTCTTCAATTTCACTACCGTATCCTAAATTATTTTATTAGGTAATAATACTTTTCCTTTTCTACAACATTTGTTCACGTATTTATCTTTCTCTGAAAAAATAAAAATAAAAATGCTTATGCTATTTTATACTTAAAACGACGAATTATTTGACAAAAAATATTTACTATGGTTGAGGAGTATGCGGAAAAGCAATTCTAATAATTTGTGGGAAAAAAGTAGACGTCATGAACTATGGATTAATAAAAATGTAACTTTTTAATATATATAGATATAATATAATGTTTCTAGAAATAACATTTCCAAATCTTACAAAGCATTGCAGCACATCATCAGTGACTGAACCCACCCTCATCACACAACACCACACCAACACCAACAACGTAGATAGTGACGAAGCAATACTTGGTACAATTGCAAATCCATTTGGGGACAATTTGATTCGGGTAAGTGGGTTGTTGCAGTTTAAAAGATGTGGTTCAAGAGCCCTTGTTCCGTTGAATATTTGTACGAGAACGTAGTCTTGAATCCGTTTCTATAATTTGATGAGCCTCGCATCTCAACAGTTGTAATGTGGGTTTCGTACAGTGGTTGTAGCTGCTCTTTTGCCTATTTCTATTAACTTTTCGGGCATTCTTCGTATTTCGGGTGAGAATTTGCCTGGAATTGATTTTTTTTTTCCCTGCAAATTGATGATTTTGTTTAGTCAAATGCCCTGTTTTTACTGTTGCTTATTGAGCTGAAATGCGAGGTCCCCAGATTAGCATAAGCATCTGCATTCTGCACCAAGATGTTCTTTCATAAAAATGGAAAACACACCCTACTTCCTCAGAATTTTCCACCCAAGTGGGGAAGTTTTGTGTGGTAATTGAGTAAATAGCTAAATACATGAGAAGGGGGAGGCATTTTACTCTGTTTATTTCTTAGTTCAATTCAACCTCAGTTTTTATGTAGACCTACACTTCTTTTTTGAAATGTTGGACGGCCATGATGTACAATCCATTTTTCCTTATCATAAAACTGTTTTGACTCTAGTAATCTTTGGAGCTGATGAGACAAAAATCTATATAGATCAACGACTTTGGCTTCAGAAATAAAAACTATTCACTATTTGTTCTCACAAGAGAAAAGGAATTGTCTATCCCGCAATCTTTAATAAGTTATGAATCTAATCCTCAAAAAGTGGATCTGCTTAGCTTCACTTGTAGTTTTGCAAGGAATGCAGCTTGATGTACCTAATGATCTTTTTATATTTTGTAGCAAATTGTCTAGGTAAGGTACTCGAATGTGAGATGTGATTTATGATCCAATCTTGAAACAATAAGAATGATCGTTGGTGCAAAGAATCAACAATTTATAAAAATGAGTTTACTGCGACTAATCATCCAGTCTTCACAAATTAATGGGGGTGGAATTCTGTATGCTTTGTTTGATTCTTGAATGAATAGGTACTTGTTTTTCTTTCATAATCTGTATGCAAATTTGTGTTATTGTAATTTTTAGAACATCGATTATAACTTGCAGGTAGTGTTGTTGTGAATTGTTGGTGAACCAGCTCTTTTACAATCATGAGTTTTGTTTTCCGAGGGAGTAGGGGAGATATTGAAAGTGGTTTTTCAGAATATGTTCCTGAAAGAACCTTGATGGTACGTTTAATATGTGTGAATATCCGTCTGTCTGCTAGTGTTTTTCCCCGACTCAGCTCAGATTGTACATAATTGGAATGTAATTCTCATTCTCTTTTCCCTATTCTTCCTAACAGCGTGTGCATCCAGCTCGGCCAGTTAATGGCAATTCTCTAGCTTTTCTTATCACAGGTGATGTATTCTCTACTATATCTAATGCTTTACTGCTTCATAAAATATTCATAATCTGTATCTAACATGCTTATTTGGCAGTTATTTTGATATTCATGATATTAAACTCCCCGCAGATGTTACATCATTTTTTGGTAAGTAATCACTTTAAAAAAATGCTAAATTTGATGTACTCACTGCTATGCATATTACTTATCATAAAGTAAGAAATTAATTGTTGGCACATATCCTTTCAGCTCTGGGTTGTACTGGCTATCTTCGTGATGGCTACAAGTCTGAGGATGTATGCAACTTGTCAACAGCTTCAAGCACAGGCTAGGGCTCATGCTGCAGCAGCCTCTGGGTTGCTTGGGCACACTGAACTCCGTCTTCACATGCCACCATCGATTGCAATTGCAACAAGAGGAAGATTGCAGGGACTTAGACTTCAGCTTGCACTTCTTGACCGTGAATTTGATGAGCTAGGTTTGTACATTCGAATGTGTATTTTTATATCTTTTCTAAGTTGAAAAGGCCCTAAAATGGGCGTTGAAAGCAGATAAAGGCTTGTCTTACACTATTTGTTATGTTCTTGATTTTGTAGCAGATTATGATACTTTGAGAGCTCTGGACACTGATGCTGCTCCTAGTACTCGTTCAATGTCTGAGGAAGAGATAAATGCCTTGCCTATTCACATTTATAAAGTTCCAGTCCCACCAAAGTGAGTTGTAATGGTTTCTCAATAAATAAGTAAAGGGATAATAATAATGAATCAGAAGAAAGGCTAGGTGCATATGCTTGCATTTTTTTGTTTCTATTTTTTCTTTTACTGAAGGTCACTGTTTCGAGGGTCGGTTCACCCTATTCTAGCTGTTCTGTAGAAGGCACCATCTTCTGATAGAGACGGGTGACTTTCAAGTCAACTCTCCACAGTATTTTGGTTTAGAAAACCATTGAATATGGAGCATAAATCATACTCCATGGAGAAACGGGCATTCCTCAGTGAGGCTGCTATGGTTGGCTTTGCAGAGGTTTGCGGAGACAAGCAGTTATGTAAAAAAGGCTGTGCTGTTATGGCATTGCTCAGGAAACACTATTTCATAAAAGCTTATTGAGAAAAATGCATTTGGTAGTCTGTTTCTTTTTTATATTTTAGGGGTCTCAAGCCAGGATAAGCGTTTAAGAGGATTAGTTTCCTCCTTTCTTTACACTTGCATTTATGTGAAGTCCTAAACCATGATAAATAATTTGATACAATTTGTTGTGTTAACAGAGATGGTTCAGCTGGTTTGGCATCCTCTTCAGTTGCAGCTGAGGTAAATATTCGTTAACTGTCTTTGCTTTTGGTTTGTTTTGCTTTACTAGCCTAGGTTGTTGGGTCGTGGTATTTTATGCTAATAATGATTTTATGCTAATAATGATGTAAATATATTGTTTGGTTTTACTCTTGGTCGTTAGTTTTTACACCACTGGCTGTCTATATTGATGTTACTGCCTCTCGTAGTATTTTAGACAATCCCCCGAGATATACATTGCAAACTATTTGATAATTGGCCCTGATGTGATGTTCTATTTAGTCTTCATTGATATGCTATTGCTTATACATATATGTTTCTTTTAATTCATGATGTTTATGGTGTCTTGTGTAATTTAAAAAAAAAAGTGACTTTCTTTTGTATACTCTTCACAAAAACCCGGGGAGAAATTTACCTCATTTGATGGCTTTTGATATGAACCTCATTTGTACAATGACTGACTTAGGATCTTTAGGGTTAGAACCTTGTAGGAAATTAGAAAGTGGTGAAAATTTAAGGGTTAGGTAAAGTTGAGTTTTCTGGGGTTCTGGGGAAGAAAGAACAAGAGGTGAATGTGAAAGGTCGAAGGAAAGAATTACTCTTCCCGAGGTAACTCAAGAAGGATGTGAAAGTCTTTTCATACTGCCAAGAGTTCTTGAATCACTCAAGAAGGAGAATCACTCTCACTAAGATAAAAGAGCTAAACTTTAATATTTCTGAATAAAACTCAACCTGTACTTTTGATAAAAGTGGTTTAGCTTATATAGAAGTTTTGTCATCAGAGTTACAAAGATTTAATAAAGAAAAATAAATGCTAATAATGATCCATTAATCTAGGAATTGAAAATTAGTCACAAATAAATGCTAATAATAATTTATTAACGTAGCAATTGAAAACTACTTAATGGTTGATTGTAACTGAAATTATGGCAAACAAAAGTCACCCAAAAGCAATCAGCTATGCACCCTCTTGGTCTTCCAAAGGCTGATGCCTAAGTTTACAATTGGGTCCTTATTAATAAAATCAAACTAAAATTCATTAATTGATTAACCAAAATCATAATTTGGTTAGCCAATTTTACAAAGAATTAGACCATTATTTAAATAAACTTAAAGATGGAAACAAAGTGATGTCAAACTTCCTTTATTTCCCTTATTCTAACCCTTGTCATAGGTCCTTCAAGTCCTTCAAATAGATCTTTGTCTTTTATGTCCCATCAGCTTCCCTACTTCTTATTCCTGGAAGGGGGATGGTTTTTAGTTTCTTTGATTAATGTTCAATCAGATTAAACAGGAATCTGGAGGAATAGAGGCACGTGTCAGAGGTCCAGAGGATGAACTGACATGTACTATATGCTTGGACCATGTTAAGCGGGGGGAGCTTGTTCGTAGCTTACCATGCTTGCATCAGGTTTGGTCACTGCCTATCTTTTCCTTTGTTCATCATTTTCTAAATTATTTAGCACTAGTGGAGATTTGTATTTATCTCTCATATTATCAGATTTATTTTATGACAAATTAAAGCATACGGCTCATTGTCTCACCTCTATACTTAACTAATTCACAATTCTTCTAACTCTTTTAGTGAGGGTATTTCAATCAAAGATGACTATTTTTATCGTAGTAATTAGTGTAATTAATACATTTTATAAGATGCTTCATTACCTTAAATGGTAAAATAATTTGAAATGTGGGGAGGAAGAAATCAATACCACGCCCATATCAATGTTTGTTTACTAAACTTGATTCATTTTGAAAATCTGACATTATTTTGTTTTTGCGCAAAGCTTCAGACTAACAGAGTAGCTCTGAGTATTATTTTGCTATTAAAAATCGAATTTTGCTTTGGTAACTAGTGCCAACCTAATGCCAAATTTTATTCTGCATATTATCAATTGAAATTAGACTCTAAATTTAGTTGAAAAATAAAACCTAAAGTATCAAAGACATTGTACCTAAATCTTTTATTTATTTTTTAATTAAAGCATGATTGCTGCCACTTCATTTTGGTTGCAACTCATTCCTCCGTCTCTTAACTGGTTAATAATTTAACATTTACTTAAATGCTATGAATTTTGACTATATAATTTATATTCCCTATCATGAATGACTAATTTTCTTTTTGTCCAGTTTCATGCTAACTGCATTGACCCATGGCTCCGGCAACAAGGAACATGTCCTGTGTGCAAATTAAGGATAGGGTCGGGAAGTGGGGGAAACAGGGAGAGTGAATCCGATGGTTCAGATATTGCGTAATCAGATGGTTCAAATATGGCTGTAAAATGCATAATGTGATGCCTTGACTTATATGTTCATGGAAAGAAGTATATATGTATATATACTATTCAATATTGGCGTATATAATGAGCTTGGCGTGAGTATATCATTGTATTTAGTCCATGTTTACATAAAAAAAGTGTAGCTGGTCTGGTCTCCGTTTCTCAGGAATTCTTACTGAGACATGTGTATCTCTTGATATATAAATAAGCATTAAAATTGTTATGATGTGGCAGGTGCATGATGATAGTGCATGTGATACATCTTGTCTTTTATCTTACACCAACAATTTTCTTTTTGAGGAGCACTTAAAAGACATCTCCACCCTCAAAAATGGTCTCTGATAAATTTGCAGGTTTTGCTGATTGAGTCAGCAATTTTCCTAGATCTAACTAATTATGTTCAACAACATATCATTCAATTTAAGTTTTATTCATTTATGTGATGCAGAGCTGACTTCACTAATACATGTTAGGTAGGGGTTATTTTATGTAACCACTTTTGACTTTACAAGAGATAAATGAGGTTTGAATTAATTATATACTAAGGCCCACTTATCCATTGTGATTAGTTGGGTTGTATATATTATGTGTAAAATACTTGGTCTCTTGCAAAGTTTGCAAAATGTTTTATCACTTTTGCCTTTGTTGTGCCTCTAAAACATGGAACAAGTAAAATGGTCTTTTACCTGACCATACTAAACCCAGCCTAAACTCTAGTTTCTATCAAATGTTAATCTCTTATAGTAGCTATTCATGCAGGTCTCCAACTCCAATCCTGCTATGTGAATTCATGAGAACTGTTTATTGATCCTGTGAATCAATAAAAAAAGTAAAGCAAGTTAAATGCTAATATTATGATGACAAGTAGGATTTCTTTTCAATTAATGGATATGCATTACAGTATGTTTATTCCTGAATAAAATTAGTCAGCAAAAGCTATATAAGCCAAAAACAAATTGGAAGGATACACAGTCAATAAATTTGCATGTTTTAAAACCAGGGAATTGTTATATCACTTGAACCAAGACGTTTTATTACTGGCTATACTGGAGTTATTAAACTTATATAAATTATTCTGCATTTTCTATAGTTCTAGTATATAACTAGTTTGTCAGCCACCGCATGTTGAAGTGTGGAATTTTAATGCCAACACGCCAAAAACACACTAGTATTTAATTTAGTATTGTATGATTCCAAAATACAACGATATATAGTCCACATAACATTATTTGAAAAATATTTGATCAACTTAGGTCAAATTCAATGATAAAGTATTGTATTTTGCCACTAAACCAGAAGGCAAAAAGCATCACGTTTTTTCTTGATCAGACACAAACGAGGACAAAATGAACTCTCTATCATGCTGTTTGGGATATATGAAATCGGTTACTCATGGACAAAATATACAGATCTCGTTAAGAGTTTTTGATCTTTATAATTCGATTTTTATAAATAAAAAATGATATATCAGAATTACATTAACTTCCCTTATTTTAAAGTTTGGTACATTGCATTAAAAGATACTCTTTCGACACAATCACAAGTTTGATATGACAGTAATTTATATCTTTATCTTTAGTCCATGAAAAAAAAATACTAAAAGATTCATAATGCCCTAATCTTAAAAATTATCATCTTTTAAAAAATAAAATAAAAGAAGTGTCTAATTTCATTAATTGCTACATTAAAGCTTAACCATAATTAAGCCATTTGCTGATAAAGGGTGAGTTACGAGGGTCCCAGAAGAGATGTGTATTTGAAAAGCTGAGTTTATATAAAAGTTCGTAAATTGTTGTCAACGTTGATTTGATTATTTTGGCTTTCTAATTAATCTTTCCTTCTTCGTGATTAAGCCTATGATTGAAACGTTGATCCCAGACTTAATTAACCAGGAACCTAATCTCTGCATGATTGATTATGTTGTTCATGTATTTTGGTGGCTAGAAGGAAAGGTGGATGGAATGTCTTTTTCCTTGTTCGTGGCTCTAACTCACTTACCTACGGTACTGTTTAGTTGAGAAGTGTGCCATCATCATCACCACCAGGCACACCCAATTAAGCCTCAGGTGAAAACGAGATGATTAATGTGACTTGAGCTCAACTGATTTTATTTTAGAAGCTTATGAGTGTAGCAATCTAAGTGTGGCTTAGTTAGTAAGTCTTTGAAAATGCCCTTTTCTTACTATTTCTTAACGAATTGAACGACGTGGAAATGCTTCAGTCCACCAATTATCCTTTTATCAGATTACAAGTTTACTAACAAAATACGTCTTAACAATTTGGAATCTCAGATCCATGATTCACATATGATATTTGTCTTCTTTTTTCTTTTTTAAATTATAAAATACATGTTTTTTCCAAATTTTCTTGGAGACCATTTTGTAAAACAAAAAGTTGAAAAAGTCCAAATAGCATATGTTGGGTGAGCATGGAAACGAAACTTGTAATTAGGGAGTACGAAATGGGGCACGTAAACGAGACAAAACATGTTAAATAAAATTAACGTTAGGGACACTCCAAAGTATAAGAAAAATGGGACCATACAGAGTAGGTAAAAGTCAATATGCTTCGTTCTGAAACATGGACACACTGAACAGATAAACCTATTCGACCAAACATTAATTTGTAGTTTGTCTATCTATTTCTATATATACATCTGTGTTTAGCATGCAGTTAACTGTGACTAATCTTCTTACTAAAATCACAGTATTGGTGCAAGCATAACAAAATGGTCACAACTATTCCTTCATCACTAACACTTTTTGTGGCATTCCTCTTTGCCACAAGCTTCCTTTGCTCCTTTCCCGAATTTGTTCTCTCTACTACTAGTTCAAAGAATGGAAGCATTACAAGGCACTACAAGTTTGATGTAAGCATTATATGTACACACACACACACACACACACACACACACACACACACACACACATATATATATATATATATATATATATATATATATATATATATATATATATATATATATATATATATATATATATATATATATATAACACCTCTACCATGTGTAAACATATATATTTATCTAGTGAGGTAGTTAATCTTTACCACTTAATGCAGCTAAACTTTATAAACTAGTGGTCTAAATGGCTACCAAGTTTTGCATGCTTTTTCTGCAGAAAAAGGGTTATGGATAATTTATTTTATTGTTTTTCCAGATAAGGTTGAGAAATGTTACGAGGCTGTGCCATACGAAGATCATGGTTACCGTGAACGGAAAGTTCCCTGGGCCTCGAGTCGTTGCAAGAGAAGGTGACAGAATTGTGGTGAAGGTGGTCAATCATGTTCCCAACAATGTCACCATACACTGGTATATATGATCTTAACTCTCTTAACAAATTCTGCATTAGTTATTCTTTGCCCCTAACACAAGTCTACATAACAAAATAGTATAAAAATATCAGCATTAGTTTGTATGCTACGTATTTTGTGCAGCTTCAAGGTAGTATATGTCCATGCATGCAATGGATTATTGTGTGGCTAACAACTAACGAATGCATATCCTCTTGACAATAATGGTTTGGATGACGACGAAAATAGGCATGGAGTGAGACAGCTTGGAAGTGGATGGGCAGATGGTCCATCTTACATAACTCAGTGCCCCATTCAAACTGGCCAGAGTTATGTGTACAACTTCACCATTGTTGGACAAAGAGGAACCCTCTTCTGGCATGCTCACATTTCATGGCTAAGAGCCACTCTCTACGGACCTCTAATCCTCCTCCCTAGGCGCAACGAATCTTACCCATTTGAAAACCCCCACAAGGAAGTTCCCATCCTCTTTGGTATAGGCCTCAAACCATCAACACATACAGAATAACACACCTTTTCAAATTTAATTTAACACAATCATCTATATTTTTAATGATTGAACTATATAGGTGAGTGGTGGAACGCAGATCCAGAGGCTGTTATTGCACAAGCCCTTCAGACAGGGTCTGGCCCAAATGTCTCAGATGCCTACACTTTTAATGGATTTCCTGGACCCCTCTATAATTGCTCCAATAACGGTAAAAGCTTGTTAAAGCTACATTGACCCACTGAAAAAAGAAACTACTTTACATAATAAGTAGTGATACATAAAAGAAAATATGAGATCTAAATTGCCAATTACTTAGTGAGTATTAACCTTGGTTTTTACTTTTGATGTGCATGGTGGACAGAGACAGAGACAGACACGTTCAGGTTAAAGGTTAAACCAGGGAAGACATATCTTCTTCGTTTGATCAATGCTGCACTCAATGACGAGCTCTTTTTCAGCATTGCAAACCACACCCTGGTAACTGTTGAAGCTGATGCTACCTACGTTAAACCTTTTGAGTCCGACATTATAGTCCTTGGACCGGGACAAACCTCAAACGTTCTGTTAAAGACAAAACCTGAGTACCCAAATGCCACCTTCTTCATGCTAGCAAGGCCATATTTCACTGGCATGGGCACTTTCGACAATTCTACAGTTGCTGGAATTCTCGAGTACAAGAAACCATTTGCTTCCAAAAACATTCCCACTATTAAACCTTCCCTTCCAGCCATCAACGACACTTCCTTCGTTGCTAACTTCTCAAGCAAATTTCGCAGTTTGAACACTGCCAAGTACCCTGCCAATGTACCTCAAAAAGTTGACAAGAGCTTTTTCTTCACGATTGGACTTGGAACAAGTCCCTGCCCCAAAAACCAAACATGCCAAGGACCAAACAACAGTTCAAAATTTGCAGCCTCGATGAACAACATATCTTTCACTCTTCCTTCTATAGCACTTCTTCAGCAACATTTCTTTGGACAGGCTAATAACGGCATTTACACCACTGATTTCCCTGCTGTGCCACTGATACCATTCAACTACACGGGGACCCCACCAAACAACACAAGGGTCACCAATGGAACCAAGACTGTGGTCATACCCTTTAACACAAGAGTGCAAGTGGTTCTTCAGGACACTAGCATTTTGGGAGCCGAGAGCCATCCTTTGCACCTTCATGGGTTTAATTTCTATGTTGTGGGTCAAGGTTTTGGGAACTTTAATCCTAACACTGACCCTCCAAAATTCAATCTGGTTGACCCCGTTGAAAGGAACACCATTGGTGTGCCCTCTGGTGGTTGGGTTGCAATCCGATTCCTTGCTGACAACCCAGGTGACACTGAATTATGATATATCATTCCTAGGTACCCCACATTGCATTCCTTTATTTATTTCCATCACTTCAAACAGCATAACATAAATTAGTTAGATTCTTTCTTTCAGTTTTAACTTTCAAGACACCTTGAACTTTTGGTTTAAGCCTGCACCATGGACAAAACTCTCGTTTCTTCTGTTTTCATCTTTTACTTTCATTTTTAATGATAAAACTGTCACTTTGTTTCATGCTTTCTATTTTCAAACATTTCAACATGAAACTGTGAAACTACAAAAGAAACTGGTTTACTTTTTTTTTTTTTTTTTTTTTCCATACAAAATTGAGAACATGATACAAAATGAAATAAAGTTAGACTTTTCTAATCAGATTTGAAATTTCATTTTCATAATTTCTGTCGAAAATATATAAAGTTTTTAGAGTGAGTTATCTAGTTAAGACTGCAATTATGATAAAAAAAGTCATACTAAATAGAATTAAGAAACTGCATGTAAATTTTGTCTAATTTATCTTAATCTTTTTGGATGATATGCTGATCATTTAACTTAATGTGTGTGATGAAACAGGTGTTTGGCTTATGCACTGTCACTTTGATGTACACCTTAGTTGGGGGTTGAGGATGGCTTGGATTGTCGAGGATGGGAAGCTCCTTAATCAAAAGTTGCCTCCTCCACCAACTGATCTCCCCAAGTGCTGATAATTTTCTGCCAAATTTTCCTTCCTATTTCATTTTCAAGTTCTAAGTTAATTAATTTCCGGATTTTTGGTTTGCCTACTATGAAAGAGTGAAGAGTCACCAGCACAAGCTTTCCCATTTCAGTTTTCTGTTTCTTTCTATCATTCTGACACTTTATGGATCACTTTTCTATGCCTCCACTCCACCTAATTTTCTGGTGCCAATAAAAATAGGGGTGGCTGGAGTTATAGCATCCAGAATATGAATATGTACTTCCCTTTCAAAATTTCATAAAAAAACTTACCTTGATTGAAATAATATATTTTTCTCATCTCCGATTATTTTATAAGATAGCAATAATTTCCCAAATTTGTCTATTCATATCCTAACGTGTGTTGGTATCATCATCCAAAATAGCTTGTTGATGCTGAGATTCATATTCATTTTCCTTTTCACTCTCACTCAAATCACTTTCAGATCTAGTTATACCTAGCACGTAAAATATTCCCTTAATCAAGGTCCAATGAAAAAGATTTAGCTAATATTATTTTAATATTAAAAAGATAAAAAAAAAACACATGAATTATTATCATTTGCTTAACTTTTAAGTGGGTTTATGCGTCAGTTTTAAATCTTTAGAAAAATATAAAGCTTATTTTTTTTTTTATCTTTTATCTTTTTTTTTAACGGTGTAGGATATTTTTAATCTATTCTTTGATTCAAGGGATAGAAAAATAATTTATGTCACACTATAATCTATTATATCATAATACTTTATTAATATTTATGTTATATTTACATTTACTTTATTAAATAATACTAAGAAATAATAATAAATATATTTACCAAACTCAGATTACCCTTAACCAATTTTACATTCGTAATTGACGAATCTCACAATCATTTTCCCTTTTTTTTGCGCAATCCCAAATTAACGCAGCATAAGAAAGAAAGTCCTCCATTAACGCTTGACTCGCATGACCATAACAGAGATATGTTGACCGCAAGCACAAAAATTTTCTCAAGGCTAACCCTAATAATTGATGCTTATTTGTCTTCCTCGTATTTCTTCAAAGGTTAGTGGCCTCCAGCTAATTCAAGATGCAACCTTCATGTTTGATGACAAATGAAATGATTATGTCTCGCTAATTTTTGTCTTCGTATAAATACAGAGTAATAAACATTTGTTAAGATTTCCTGTAAATATGAAATTGGACCTAACTAAGCTCATTACGAGATTTAACTTCAGTTTGCAAATTTCCCCTTTCAGAAGTGTCCAAAAGGAGAAAAAAAGGAAGATACTTCAAAAATCAGGTTTTAACATTTTGAACTAAAGAGTCTGCCGTTACTTCTGTTCTTTTTTTTTTTTTTACGGGAAAAACGAAGAAAGAATGTGGCTTGCATTTTCAATGCAGATCCAAGTACTATAAAATAATAATACTAATAATGAGTTGAGGCAGTTGAATTAAATATCCCTATGCTTTACCATAAAGAAATCAAACCTTTCCTTCCTAACACACAGATATACATGGTGAAAGAAAAATGTAGAGAGGTGACAGGAATCAGAGGTGGGAAGGATCATTTAGCACATGAAAGCTTTTTGTGGATCCTGAACCAAAAGTGAAGCATGGTTTGAGTTTAATCTAAACAGAGAAGGTTAAATCAATATTAGAAGAGGTTTATGTTTTCAGAAAGAATAACTCAGATACAATTATGTAGTTACACTGATGTCTCTGATGAGAGTAGAGTTTCAAATAATATTTAACAAAGTTATTCATTCTGCTGATTATGGTTAATCTCATGTAATCGGCTGATTATGGTTAATCTCATCTAATCGCAAACCAATTGTTTTAGAGATATTAAGATTTCGAAATGAGGTTTGGCTTTGTTAACAAAATCTTCTTCATGTAATGATCAGAAAATGAATCCCTGAAGCATGAAGGTCGACTAGTACATAAATTGTGTGTATATAGATATATAGAGACTCTAGGGAGGGAGAGACACATATACTAAGCATGAAGAAAAGCAATATTATAACTCACCTTGTAATTTGTAATTACAAAACGAATATATTCCAAGAAGAAGAAAAAAAGTCAGATCCCTTCAGCATTTTGCTACTATTGCATAACATAAGAATCTGAAAAGGGATCTGTGGTTTCCTCATGAATCCCCGTGCTTGTGCCAGCAAACTAACATGGCTACACACCTCCTCATGATGTAAAATCTGGCTTTGTGTTCCTTAGCCATGCTGGTGCATTTTTTACCAATGGAGGGGTTCTTCTGTGAGAAGCTCCTAGGAATAGTGGTTTTGGAAGTGGAGGAACTCTTTTGGGATAAGCTCCTCAAGAGAGGGGAGTTTGAAGAACAGCCTCTTGTTGAGCAACTCCTTAAGAACACTGACTTGGTGGATGATGTGCTTGCCTGGCTGCTACAACCTGCTTCCTTCTTTGACACCTTCCACTTTTCATCCATCAAAAACCAAGCAGCACTGATATCTAGAACTAGCTATGGGACACTGAGTGTGAGTGTTTGAGAGGAGAAAAAAAGGTGAATATTTGATAGGAGAGAAGAAAGAAAGTTGGATGCAGTGGGACTGTGTAGTGTATAAAAAATATTCCCAGAGAGATCATAAAAAATTCTTGATGAGATTCGATGTTATAATGAGCTAATTAAATATTCAATATACATATCAGATACCTGCCTATACATACTCATCATATAATAAACATTAGTATCATGAGTCACCTAAAACAAAGATATTTTGAATGAGATAAATCATACTCATACACCTAAAACAAACATCTTAAGCATTTCCTTTCTTTCTGTCTCATGTTTCTTCTCCACTTTCTCCATTCCTAATTTTCACTGTGCTGTTAGACTGTGTTTGCCTGGCTGGAATTTGGAAAGGGGAAGTGCGTGCTTTTGGTTTGTACAGTAGCTTTGGGACTAATACAGGAAACACTGTCCCTGAGAATCGCCTCAAATAAGCACTTATTTTTTTCCCTTGGAGACAAACCTCTTGTTTGATTCTAAAATGAGAAATTATTTATTATACTGGTCCATTGTAGTTTGTACGTTTATATTGGCTGGTTCTCATGTGGAGGGTTATACTTATACACAAGCATCTTACCAATGCAGTACCTGGCCCTTCCAAATCTGTATCACTTAACAAAACTAGTGCCTCATTTGCTAAAGATGCTCTTCCTTCACCACAAAATATGCACATGAATCAACAACCTTGACACTGATAAATGAGCAATGTCCATTGTAGTCAAAAAGTGTGTTTGAATTACATGTCATGATTAATGAGTAACTCAAGAGCAGTGTTGTTATTGTTCATGATCCGTGTCTTATTGGTATGAACGTGACTATTGTTTGTCTTGTCAATTATTGTCATTGATGAAAACGGTTTTGAAATTCGCTGCATATACAATGATACTATGCAAAAGAAGACAATATACTCTTAAACAATACTTTCATTCTCACCCTTTTGTTTAATTTGAAAAATTATTGGCAAGTGGGTGATATGGTCAATCAATTTATGATCACTCAATAACAAAAAACTTCAATCTGCTTCCTGATTCGGTGTTAAAGCATCTTTTACTCCTCTCTACCTTTGAAATAGATATAGACATAGGTTTCAAAATTTTCCACCCTGAAGAAAATATGCAGAACCTACAAACAAACCGAACCTGCCAATAATTTCGTCACAATCACAAGCACTGCAAACTATATTCTAGGATTTAATGACACCCTTGTTATTGAATTGGTTAATTTATTTATTGGAGGTATCAAGTATGGATTCAGAGGCACATGACAACTACGTAGCAAGAACAATAGTCATCAGATTCCAAAATCAGTATGAAAATATTGACTGATTTAATATTTTCAAACAGAGACTCTGCTGAACTTGACACATTGATTTGTGTTTCTGTTTTTTCATTTTTTGGTAATATCTTAATCGAATGCAGTTATAAATATATCACCATTGTCAAATTGACATGTAAAAAGATCCTAAATGCAGTTAGTGATATATTTGAGTTAAACAACCCCCTAAAATATAGTTTAAGAATATAGTTTAAGAATTTGTTTTTAGACATACCCTTAGAAATATAATTTAAAAATCACTTTGACTTGAGTAATAATATTACTGATTTTGGAATCTATGTAATTTTGATTTAATGTTCAATTTTCTACACGATTATTTCTGTTTTTATACATACTTTTCAACAAGTAAGATTATGATAAAAGCATTTTAAAATCAAGGAGAGAGTGTAAGGTTTTATTTTAACACTTGATTATTACATGTGAGAGTATCTATTTATATAAGAGGGATAAAAAAAATTAAAAATTCATGGCTCTAACATTATTAAAGCACATTGTTATAAAAGAAATGTCATTAATTACATCAGCATATGTTATGATTAAAGGATACTATTGAAAATTTTATTAAAACAAAACTTATTTTACATTCACTAACAATACAATAAAAGATTAAAACAACGTCCTTTAAAGTGATCTTGAATCATTTCCATTTAAGATAAACTTTATTATAAATTTTGGTTTGTGGTAAGTTTGGGTTGGTACCAACTTTATTGTGTAAATGTAAATTTAGGATTCAATTACACCAAAATAATAATAATAAAAAATCTAAAATGTATAGAAAATTGATAACTTAACAAAGTTATGACTTTCTAGAAATTAAAGACTAAAATAAAATAAAACTAAAATAAAAAATTATAATTTAACCAAAATCCTAACATAATTTATATGTTTTTATGTTCATAATAATAAAAAGAAGCGAAGGTCCTTCTTGAGGTTTTGATAAGCATAATATGTTTTTGACATTGAAAAAATGCAGCTAAGTTAATAAAACAAAAGGTAAAGAAATAATTAATTTAATAATTTTTAAAATTGACTTTAAGTCATATAAATTTTAATTATTTACAATTAAACTTGAATTTTTAAGTGGATTTTAATTTATATATTAAGTTATTTAGTTTTAAAATTTAAAAGTAAAAATACTTTACTATTGATTATTAAATAAGTGAAAAATATTTATATTATATATATATATATAATAGAAAAATTAAAGGAAAGAAGAGAAAGAATATGATCTAAGATTAAAATTATTATCCTCAATTTGGATGAGAAGACAGAAAAAATAATAATTGTAAAGATTTAGTTCTATGATTTATGAGTAATAATTTTTTATTTGGTGCTTCTCTGCATGGATGCTTAACTTGTTATTTATCAAAAATACTTATAAGTAATTGTATTAAAGTTTCCCTACTTACTATAAGAGTTCCTAATATATTTGAAACATTACTTCTACAAACAATTATTTATAAAATAAAAATAATATTATTATAATAATATATAACATTTTTTAATTTTTATAAATTAAGTTAATATTTAAGTATAATAATTAAATTATTTTTAATTTATCAAATAAAATATAAAAAAATTATAAAAAATACGAGTGTTTAAAAAAATATTTATTGGAGTAAAATTAAAAAAAAAATTAAAACAAATTTCTTAAAAACGATGTGAAATAAACATGTCTTATTTATAGCGAAAACATGGTTGTTTATAAGAGAATATTTTCTTATAAGCATCATTAATACGTTAACATATTTTAAAAATTAAGTTAAAATAATTATAAATAAAAAATTTAGAATTTATTATTTATTTAAAACTATTATATTTTTAAGACTCAAACCTTATTTTTCTTTAAGATTTTTCTCACAACTTACTTATTCTTTTTTAGATTTGAATATATTGTAGTGCTCTTAGTCATATGTAAAACACTTTATTCTTACCAGAAGTTTATTTAGAATATTTTTTTATTTTATTTTTTTACATGGAAATTTTAATAGGCTTGCATGAGGACCTTAGGGTTGTTGCATGCAGGGGTTTCTCAAGTAAAATTGAATCTCTACAAGTCAGAACTATAATAATATGTTAAATTTGTTGATTAGGATCTTCGGTGCACAAGATTTAACTTTTTGAGAGATTGAGAACTTTAGTAGCTTTACGAAGTTTTGGGTTGGAAAAGCAAGAAAAACTTAAGGAAAGCTAGTTATTATAAATTTATTAGTACTTGACGAGAAACTATTTCAAAGCTGAGAAGCTACTTGCTCATTAATATTTTTTTTCTAGAAATTGTGATTGGATTGTAAGTTTGTAGTTTGGGGTGTGTTATGAGCCTTAATTGATGTTTAGGTGTGACTTGATTTAATTCTTTTATGAATATTATTTTAAATGAGCAGTGTGGGTCTAGAATTTTGAAGGAAAAATAAAAGGGTTAAATGGGTTAAATTTGTATATTTTTTTTAGTGAAAACTATAAACAATATGTTATAGGTTTAAATGAGTATCAACTAACTTAGTCATCTTTTGTATAATTTTAGTTTTAAAAAAAAGTCTCCACCTCATTTTTGCTTAAATGAGATATTTTTATTTTAGTAAAAATTCTTTCATGTAGAAAAAATTGGTTCAATCTAACTTTTATTCAAAACAAATATTGATCCATTAAGTAATGAGATAATTCATTTAAGTAATGATCAAGACAAATATTGATCGATTAAGTGACAACATACTCGTTCAACCAAAAATATACACGAGAGAATGAAAAACTTTAGAAAGAATGTTGCTTAAGTAACAAATTAGTTATTTAAACGATATTTTCAAGTTTGAAAATCTAGTAAAATGTTTAATTTTATCTGTTTCTTTTATTCTTATATCATTCTAATGTTAAACGTCATGTGGTTGTGACATGTATGATAATACGTGAGAATAAAGTGATAATTGAATGTGATTGAAATTCATGATGGGAGAGAATGAATAAAAATGAAAATGAGTCTGGTATGTCTAGTATATTGATGTGAAATACTAGTAGTTAGTAAGGAGGTATTATTGTGTGATTTAGCTTAAAATGTGTATTTTGCTACAGAGAAAACATTGAGTGGTGAAGAGTCACCATGTTAAGCTAATCAATTGATGAAAATGGATATATGTTAGTTTGGTAGACAAACTTGCAATAATGGAATCACCTTATCACATTAAAGTTATTATAAATTACACTAAGAATCAAATACCTTAGAATGTGGTAGGAAATGTTTATGACCAAAATGTCAAATTTAATTAGGACAATGAGATAGGACAAAAAACAATTGAGAGACACTAAATAGATAAAAATTAAACAACATTATAATTATATGATAAAAGTGTTTAACATAAAATTAATTGATTTTGTGAAATTGATAAGATACCCTATAATATATACATTAACTTAATTAACTTACCTTATTTCTTATTTTAATGGTAATGATAATTTATTTTGTATATAACAAATGACGAACAACTAGATCTTATTTTATAAAAGTTCTATATTCTTATAACATATATTTACACGTACATAATTTCTAATATCCTATAATAAGATAACTATATGTTAATAGATATATTATATAAATATATTATATATATTTATGTTTAAACAAGTTTAGTAAAGATGAAAAAAAAAATTTAAGGTATACAAAATTTAAGTATAATTATGTAAGTATTTCAAGTAATATCTATATGATATATATTATTAATACAACATTGAGATATTTTAATTTAAAAATTAATACTAATAGTTTTGAGAAATGATATTGTTATAATAATGGGATAATTCAATAACTTTGAAGATAGTAGATATGGATGTTACTCTAAATTTGATGAAGAAAATGGTCAACATTAAGAAAAATTAAATAACTTATTATAGATTTGATGTATTAGACCAATTTTAGAGTTTTTCATATTTTTTTTAAAATGAGTGTCCAAAAAAAAGTTATGTATTATGGTTAAATTTTAAAAAATATATATCGTAACAAAATTTCTAAGATTATTTTATCTAATATATATATATATATATATATATATATATATATATATATTAAAATTAAAATATTTTTATATAAAATTTATATCTAAAATTAATAAAATATAACTGTACATCGAACAAAAAAACTTATTACGAAGATGAAATGCATTATATAAAACAAATTTACCTAATTTTAATGAATATTTTAATAACAAACAAAATAATACACTTTCAAATACAATAATATAAAACATGATACAATCACACTTTTTTTACTATAGTACAACTTTTATTGGGTTAGGTTTATATGGTTAAAGTACATGTGGACTTTGAATCATCTCAAAGGAAATGGATTTATTATTCTAGATATTGGAGACAACAATTTGAGTCATGAAATGGAGGCACTTTCATAGTCAAGACAAGAGTTAAGTATGTTTTCAATCAATTTAGCATCCCTTGATATTAATTAAAACTTTTAATCAATACTTTCATAAAAAGAACACTCTTCCAAAGACAATAAAATATGACACAACACATTTTTAATATTGTATTATTTTTATTGGATTACATTTATATTTTAGGAGTAGGTATGAACTTTAAATAATGAACTTATTATTCTACATGTTAGAGAGAAGAATTTGAATCATATCAGATACTTTCATAATCAACACAAGATGTAGGCTTGAAATCATCTTCATGAACCTATTATTTCACATATTAGAGAGAATAAGTTTAGTTATATAAAATGAAACTCATTTTCATAATCAAAACAAGAGAAGTGTATCTCAACACATTTTTACATGAAACACATTTAGTTCGTACACGTTAATTAAAACTTTTAATGAAGACATTAATAACAAACGAAAAACATTCTTCCAAAGACAGAAATATAAAACATAACCCAACTACACCTTTAATATTGTACAATTTTTATTGGATTTGGTTTATATTTTTAAAGTAGGTGTAATCATCTTAAGTCTAATAGATTTATTATTATACGTTTTTGAGAGAAAAGTTGGTGTCGTATAAAGTGTACGCATTTTCATAATAAAAAAAACACAAGGGAGGTGTGTCTTCAGCACATTTAGCACATAGATGAGATGTGTTACATGAAACGCATCTCTAGTTCATCTCATCATTTGACATTAGTTCAAACTTTTAATTAATACATTAAAAACAAACAAAAAAAAATTTCCTTTTTCAAAAATAATAACATAAAACATGACACAAGACTTTTTTAATATTGTACAATTTTATGGAATAGGGTGTAAGAATACGAGAAAAGAAGTCTCACATCAAATAAATTATATATTGATGCTTATTTTTTTTATTATAAAAAGAATATCATTCTCCTTTATAAATCACCTCAAATATCTTCCTTCTTCTTTTTGTTAGTTCACTACATAGTAGTTAAATTCTCTTATTTAAAAAAAAATATTATTATTATTTTCTCCTTAGATTTAAAGAGGGTATTATAATTTTTTTCGTTAGTGAAATTCAATGATCCTTATGCAGTTTCTCTGATTCCTAACGCTATGCAGTTACTCTAATTCCTAACGCCTTATGCAGTTACTCTGATTCTCTAATTCCTAACATCTTGTGCTTCTCTGACGCACGCCTTATGTAGTTACTCTAATTCCTAAAGCCTTATGCAGTTACTTCGATTCTCTGATTCCTAACTTCTTATGTTTTTCTTATTCCTAACGCTTTATGCAGTTACTTTGATTCTCTGATTCCTAACGCCTTGTGCAATTACTCTGATTCCTAACAATGGTATTAGATTCTTATGCAATTACTTTGATTTCTAACGTCTTATGTAGTTACTTTAGTTCCTAACAATGGTATCAGATGCTTATACTCTGATTCCTAACACCTTATTCAGTTACTCTGATTCTCTGATTCCTAACGCTTTATGCAGTTACTCTGATTCTCTGATTCCTAACGCCTTGTGCAGTTACTCTGATTCCTAACAATGGTATTAGATGCTTATGCAGTTACTTTGATTTCTAACGTCTTATGTAGTTACTTTAATTCCTAACAATGGTATCAAATGCTTATACTCTGATTCCTAGCGCCTTATGTAGTTACTCTGATTCTCTTATTCCTAACACCTTATGTAGTTACTCTGATTCCTAACACCTTATGTAGTTACTCTGATTCCTAACACCTTATGTAGTTATTCTGATTCCTAACACCTTATGTCGTTATTCTGACTCCTAACAGTGGTATCAGATGCTTATGTAGTTACTCTAGTATCAGATGTTTATGCAATTACTTTGATTCCTAACAGTGGTATTAGATGCTTATGTAGTTACTCTGGTTTCCTAACAGTGGCATGCTTATGCAGTTACTCTGATTCCTAATGCCCTATGCATTTTACTTTGATTCTTAATAGTGGTATCAGATGCTTATGCAGTTACTCTAATTATGCAATTACTCTAATTTCCTAACAGTGGCATGCTTATGCAATTACTCTCATTCCTAACAATGATATCAAATGCTTATATAGTTGCTTTGATTCTTAACAATGGTATTAGATTTACTTTGATTCTTATTCCTTATGCAATTACTCTGATTCCTAACAGTGGTATCAGATGCTTATGCAGTTACTCTGATTCCTAATAGTGGTATCAGATGCTTATGCAATTACTCTGATTTCCTAACAGTGTAATAGTGGTATCATATGCCTTATGCAGTTACTCTGATTCCTAACAGTGGAATAGTGATATCAGATGTCTTATGCAGTTATTCTGATTCCTTCCTAACAGTGGTATCAGATGCTTATGCAGTTACCTTGATTTCCTAACAGTGGTATTAGATGTTTATGCAGTTACTCTAATTCTTAACAGTGGTATTAGATACTTATGTAGTTATTCTGATTCCTAATTCCTAACTCCTAACAGTGGTATCAAATGCTTATATGCAGTTACTCTGATTCCTAACAATGGTATTAGATGCTTATGCAGTTACTTTGATTCCTAATAGTGGTATCAGATTATGCTTATGCAGTTACTATGATTCCTAATTCCTAACAGTGGTATCAGATGCTTATGTAATTATTCTGATTCCTAATTCCTAACAGTGATATCTCCTAATGTTTATGCAATTACTCTAATTCTTAACAATGGTATCTACTAATGCTTATGCAATTACTCTAATTCCTAACAGTAGTATCTCTTGATGCTTATGCAATTACTCTGAATCCTAACAATGTGCCTTATATTATTACTTTGATTCCTAATTTATGTAGTTACTCTGATTCCTAACATTATGTCTTATGCAGTTACTTTGATTCCTAATTCCTAATAGTGGTATCAGATGCCTTATGCAGTTACTCTTATTCCTAACAATATGCCTTATGTAGTTACTTTGATTCCTAAAAGTATGTTATATGCAGTTACTCTGATTCCTGACAGTGATATTAGAGGCGATAATTGGTTTCTTATTCGTGCATGTCTAGCAAAATTCCTTTCTTATTCGTGTATGTATAGGAAAAGTCCTATCAAAGCCCCTAACAATGGTATAAGATCTGATGGTTGGTTGGTTTCTTATTCGTTCATGTCTAGGAAAAATTCTAAAAGTGATATCAGAGCCGATGGTTGATGTGACTCTCTTACCTCTCTTTCCTGGGAACTTACTTAGTATACTAGTTACAGATTACACTGTTGTTCCAGTAGGCATTATTGTTCCAGTAGATAATACTATTCATAGTGAAATGTGCATAATTTGTTGTTGTTCCAGTAGGCGATGTTGTTCCAGTAGGCAACTATTTATAGTGAAAGGTGCATAAGTCATTGTTGTTCCAGTAGACAATACTATTCATAGTGAAAAGTTCATAAGTCGATTAAAACAATGACAACAAAATATGAAATAGAGAAGTTTAATAAGAATAGTTTCTCATTGTGGAAACTGGGGATGAAAACAATTTTGAGAAAAGACAATTATGTAGGAGTAATTGGAAAAAGACCATGGGCATCACAAATCGAAGGTCGAAGGTGGGAAAAAATTAACATCAACGCAAATTTGTGAAGAATGGTACAACGAAGGAGAATTGAGAGTCCTTTGTCAAATTGTATCAGAAGACTTGGTTTATTATGATATGTTGGAATCGTCGATATTATTCATAGGAGGGGCCAAATATTTTGTATCAGTGTTTTCAAAGTTCGAAAAATGCAAATTCTTGGACTATGCTAATAATGTGAATGAGTATTTCCTGTGAATCTCATTACCCACTTGGTTATTGTTAGCGGTGATACCAATATTATTTTTCTTCAAGGTGAACTTAGAGAAAAGATTGGAGTGCTCCAACAAGAAGACTTAAAGGAAAAAGAAACTTAGTTTGCATGTTGATTGAATTTCTTATTTAAATCGGGTGTCCAGGTGTTAAAACAAGATATTTGATTCTTCATTATTAGCCTTGATTACAACAAATTAAGTTCAGACTATTGTACCTATTATAATAGATTTGATGAGAATGATTTTATCATTTTGTCGTTGTATGTGGATGACATGGTGGTAAGCTCCAACAAAGTTCAAATCCAGGTTAGGCACAGTTGGGTAGGAAGTATAATATGAAGAACTAGGGACTAACAAACAAGATTTTAGGGATGCAAATTCACTTGGACATAAAAGATAGGAATGTTTGGCTTTATTAGAAGAATACTTACTGAAGGTCTTGCAATGCTTCAACATGCAAGGATGTAAGCCAGTTTTTACCTCATTTTATATCAAGTTATCCTCAAGTATGAATCCTAACAATAAAGCAAGGAGGATGAAAATGTCTCGCGTACTATATGCATTGACGATGGGAAGTCCTATAAATACTATGATTAGTATAAGACCATACATTGCAAAAACAATGGGAGCGGTGAATAGATCAATGGAAAATTATGGTGGAGAGCATAATTTGATCAATAAAATTCTTATCAAAGGAACCTTGGATGTTATGTTTTAAAGGATCAAAACTAGTTGTCAAATGCTACATTTGTTCAAGTTTTGTAGGTGATCTTAATGAGTTTACCTATGTTATAGTGGTAATAATTGATTATCCAAGTTATAAAATGTTGTAGCTCTGTCTATCATAGAAGTTGAGTACATAACAGTCACTCAAGCATGTAAGAAAACTATTTGAATTAAGAAGATAATAGAGGAACTTGGGCATAAACAACAATAGATCGTTGTGTATTGTGATAGTTAGAGTGTCTTGTACATTGCAATGAACCTTGTCTCGTATTTTAAGATAAAACAAGAAGAACCTAACAATGTTATGATAGTTAACAATGACAAGTCATGTGAGAAGAGAAGTCCCACATCAGGGAAATTATATGTTGGTGCTTACTTTTCTTGTTATAAAAGGAGCATCATGTCTATTTTGTAAATCACCACAAATCTCTTTTTTCTCCTCTCTACTAGTGCATTGCATTGCATTGTAGTTAAGTCTCTTATTTCTGAGAGAGAATATTATTATTGTTTTCTCCTTAGATTTAAAGAGGATATTGTAATTTCTTTCAGTAATAAAATTCTATTATTGCTTATGATCAGTTTTGTTTCTTTTTTCTCATATTTTATTTTAGTTGTGAGTTCTTATGCAGTCATTGTTGGCAAAATTTGGGTCATGTATATATATGATACATATTTAAATGTGTTAGGGTCATTATTTATTAAGTCAAATAATAAAGTGATCTGACTAAATTAAAGTTTTGGCTAAAGGCATATGTCATGAAAATAAAATTGTGTAGAGACCATAAAGTAATTTCTAATTTGATGAGGGGCCAAATTGGAAATACTAAAACTTAAGTAATTAACCTAATTCTGGTTATTTAAAGGGTCATGGTCCCCTTCTGGGAACACACACACACAAAACGTAGTTACAGTCCCGTTCTTTTCTTTCTATCCCCATCAAGAGAGAAAATCAAGAAGGAAATACAGGTGCTCTTCAGGTGGAAGACCATAAGATCAATAGTTCTCTAAAAGGGACATCATCATTATGGCTAATTCAGTTACGCTTTCGTATTTAGTTTACAACATGTTTATGAGTATGGGATTACTTTATATTTGATCGTTAGATTGAAGATCATATTTAATTATAAGTTTACCTAGCAAGTGGTATTAGAGTCACCCATACATGATTCATGTTTGTATTTCATAAATTAAATTTAAGAATTCAGAACCCTAATCTCAAATTTTCATAAACCCTAAATTAAAATTTGGGGTTCAATATCCTGGTTGTCTCTCTGCTTCACAACCACCAAACAATACAACCTTAGTCTTCCACAAGGTGAGATGCATGTAGAGAACCTCGAATCTTCCATGAGGGTTTCGGTGACATGAAATATATGTATATTTTTTGGTGACGTTATTGGGTTTGTTGGTATTGTAACCAATTTTGTTTGTGGAGATTCGAGTGAGGGTTAGGCAAATTCAGTGAATGAGAAAGTGAAGGGGTTCGTGGGGCACAGATGAGTGGTGTTTGTTTGCGCGATGTGGGACATGGCATTCGCAGGCACCTCTTACATGTTTGGGAGCATATCGTCGGTGATAAAGAGCAGCATGGGTTTCAACCAGAAGCAGGTGGCGTTGTTGAGCGTGGCCAAGGATTTGGGTGACAACATTGGTCTTCTTGCTGGCAAAATCAGCATGGGTTTCCCCCATTTGGGCTCTCTTTCTCGTTGGGATCTTCCAAAATGTTCTCGGTTATGGCCTTGTTTGGCTTCTCATCACGCACCGCATTCGGTCTTTGCCTTTCTGGCAGTTTGAATCAGATTTAAGTGACGCACACGCTCTGTTCGATGAAATTCCTCAACCGAATGCCGTTACTTTGAACACTATGATATCTGGGTACGTCCACGCTGGCCAATTTCGAAACGCTTTGTCGTTTTTCATGCGCCTTGAGAGGTCCCATGTTTGTGGCGACGCGTTTTCTTTCACGTCAGTGTTGTTTGCTTGTTCCAAACTGAGTCTCTTTAAACTTGGAAGCTCAATTCATTGCAAGACCGTGTAACTGGGCATGGATGATAGCATTGTGGTTGCAAACTGCTTGATTGACCTGTATGGGAAATGCGGACCTGTGGAATATGCTGTAAGGGTGTTCTCTGAGACTGTTGAGAACGATGTTATATCTTGGAATTCAATCATAGCGGCAAGTGCTAACAACGGGTACATTGAACTTGCTTACAAGTTTTTGAACCTTGTGCCCAACCCTGATACTGTTTCCTATAATGGCCTCATAAATGGAATTGCTCAGGTGGGGAACATGGAAGATGTTGTTCATGTTTTGTCAAGTCTGCCAAATCCAAATTCGTCTTCATGGAATTCGGTAATTTCGGGATTTGTTAATAAGAATCGAACTAGGGAAGCTTTGGATATGTTCTGTAAAATGCACTTGAAAAATGTAGAGATGGATGAATTCACATTTTTAACTATTTTAGATGGAATTGCCAGTTTGGCTGCCTTAACGTGGGGAATGTTGATTCATTGCTGCACAATAAAGTGCGGTTTAGATGATTCTGTAGTTATTGGGAGTGCCCTAATTGACATGTACTCAAAATCGAGGCTTTTGATGTTTTCCTGAATTTCTTTGGGAAAGTTTCAATTCGATGAGCAATTAGGATTATCTTGATTGATTTCTTTCAATTAAAGTACTTAATTGTCCGATTCAGCCGGTTGCACTAATTTGAAGGAGACTATTTTAAGGTAAGCATGGTGGAAATTCTTTTAGAAGTGGACCCCACCGGTGAAATGATGGAGATTCTAGGGGACCCATTTGCATAGATAAATGAATAATTAAAATTGATTTGGTTGTCAAATATAATTTATCAAAATTTCCTTTATTTGATATCTGAAGCATGAATGATTATATTTAGGTGGTTTGGTTTAGTTGGAAAATACTTGTTTTATGAATGGCAGACGTGGATTCAGTGCCATTATAATTTTTTCTTTAATAAATAAATAATTATATAAATTTGGTTTTGTTATATAAATAAAATATTACTTTTTTGGTAGTTTAATATTTTTGTGAACAAATTGAGTCAAGAAGTTATTAAAATAACCTCTCTTGAATTGGGTAGTTCGTAAAAAATATTGAATGTTAGTGTTTGTGTATATTCATGCGAGTATTAGTCGACCCAAAGGAAGATTAATATTTGGCCGAATTGCATATACACCTGTAATGATAAACATGTGATAATTATAAGGATTTGCTTTGTCGATGATAAATCAATCAAAAGACCGGTTTGTTATTGGACGTGCTTTATTGTCAATGTTTGATTATTACAACAAGATACCTCTAACAGTTAATATTACTGTCCAAAGACTTGATATTGATGGTGCATTGGGTGTCTTGAGATGGGTTAAACCATTATTTGAATATATATTTTATTTATAATTATTTATTTTATAATGTGAGCATAATTAGTTTATTTCTTTTGTTCTAATCCAGCTACAATTGCTTCTGTATCTGCCAATTTAAATTCTGTTCCGGTCCTCAATGGAACAAATCTTAAGGACTGGAAAGAGAACATTGATATTATTCTTGGTTGCATGGATATGGATCTTGCGTTAAGGACTGAGCAACCCCCTGTTCCTACGGATTCGAGTACCTCTGAACAGAAAAGAGATTATGAGAAGTGGGATCGCTCAAATCGCATGAGTCTAATGATCATTAAGCGCGGCATCCCGGAGGTGTTTAGGGGCACTGTTTCTGAAAACATCACAAGTGCCAAAGAGTTCCTTGCTGAAATTGAGCAGCGCTTTGCAAAAAGTGATAAGGCGGAGGCAAGCACTCTTCTTCAGAACTTGATCTCCATGAAATATCAGGGCAAAGGAAATATCAGGGAGTACATTATGAGCATGTCTAATATTGTTTTTAAACTCAAGGCACTAAAGCTCGAACTCTCAGAAGACTTGCTCATTCATTTGGTGTTGATTTCTCTTCCCGCAACGTTTAATCAGTTTAAGGTATCTTACAACTGTCAGAAGGATAAATGATCTCTTAATGAACTCATTTCACATTGTGTATAAGAAGAAGAAAGGTTAAAGCAAGATAAGATAGAAAGTGCTCATTTTGCAAGCACCTCTAAGGCTAAAGGCAAAAGAAAGAGATCGGAGGATCCCAAGAAGGAAGCTGCTAAAGGTCCAGAACAAAAGAAACAAACTCAAGAAAACAAATGTTTCTTTTGCAATAAGACTGGACACGTAAAGAAACAATGTGCTAAATATCATGCTTGGCGTGAAAAGAAAGGATTGCCTAAACTACCGGAAGCCAACTGATTCTGAAATATGGATATACGTTGAAGACGACAAATCGGTGGAGATGGAGACTATTGGACATTTTAGATTATTATTGTGTACTAATTTTTTATTTTAGATTTAAAAGATATTTTTGTCGTGCCGTCTTTTAGACGAAATTTGGTTTCAGTTTCTTATTTGGACAAATTAGGTTATTTGTGTTTATTTGGAAACAATGAGTTCAATTTGTCTTTTAATTCAGATGTTGTTAGAATTTGTTCACTTTTGGCTCATGATAATCTATATTTACTTAATATTGTGGTCACCTATAATGAAACTCTTAATACATAATCTCGTGGTATTCAACTAAAATTGGATTCCTGAACAGTAAGTAGTTACTTCATTGGTTATTCTGAAAGAGCCAGGGGATATAAATTTTATGATCCCACATTAAAGACAATTTTTGTGATGGGAACTGTTATGTTCTTTGAGGATATTGAGTTTGGGGGGAAGAATAAGATTAAGAATTTTTTATTGGAGGAAGAATCAACAATAAATCCAGAACCGATTCAAACAATTACTTTTGATAAAGTAAGTTCGGAACCTCCACAAGACATTGAAGATAAACCCCATATTCAAGATGATTTGATTGTTCGTCAAGACCAAATTCAAGATCCTCAAGAACCTGTGCGTCATGAGCCGGGGATACTCCAGTTACTAAGGGAGACAAGTTTAGTCTAAATTAGTGCCCAAAGGAGAATTTGGAAATTGAGGAAATGCAACAGATTCCCCATGCATCAACTATCGGGAGTTTAATGTATTCCCAAATATGTACGCGTCCAGACATAACATACATAGTTGGGGTTCTAGGAAGATATTTAAGCAATTCAAGAATAGACCATTGGAAAATAGCAAAAAAGGTCATAAGATATTTAAAAAAGAACAAAAGATTATATGCTCACATACAAGAGGTCAGACCAGTTGGAGATCGCTGGGTTTTCTGACTCAGATTTTGCAGGATGTCAATAATTTGTAGCATGTTATGAGACATCAAATCATGGAATATGGCTGAGAAATTTTGTCACAGGGCTACAAATTGTGAAAGGCATTGAAAGACCACTTAAGATATATTGTGACAATAAATTAGCTATATTGTCAAGGAAAGAGTACAAAGTGGATAGATTTCCATAGAACACTTAAGGACAAACTCCATGATAGCATATCCTCTAACTAAAGGACTTCCACCCAAGGTCTTTCATGAGCATGTTGCTCACATGAGTGTTTTACAGTTTGAGAAATTTGTGGTTTAGTGGGAGTTAGTCACTTTCATATATTTTATGTTCTATGTTTAATTTCATATATGTATACACTGATTTTTTTGGACATATTTGGTTATCTATAGATATGCGGTTTTTTCGTTCATTCATTACACTTTGTACATTAAGGATATTATATCGATCTCGATAAGTTAAAGTTTGAACCAGTTGAAAATAGACGTGTACAGATCACCTTCACGTAATTTTTCATGTTACACATTTCATGATGAATCCATGTCATTTGGTTATGTCAGGATGAGTAATCATTGTTGGTTTTAGTTGCGATGATGCAATAAAAAGCTGGTTTGGTTCTATATCCTGATATGATCAATGGACAGAACTTTTGGAATATGCTAAAGGAATATAATGACAATTTTGAGCTCATAAAGTCTAACACATTTGTGAGGTTGTAAGGACATATATATTTGTGACCAGTGGGAGATTGTTGGCAAAATTTGGGTCATGTATATATATGATACATAGTTAAATGTGTTAGGGTCATTATTTATTAAGCCAAATAATAAAGTGATCTGACTAAATTAAAGTTTTGGCTAAAGGCATATGTCATGAAAATAAAATTGTGTAGAGACCATAGAGTAATTTCTAATTTGATGAGGGGCCAAATTGGAAATACTAAAACTTAAGTAATTAACCTAATTCTGGTTATTTAAAGGGTCATGGTCTCCTTCTGGGAACACACACAAAACGTAGTTACAGTCCCGTTCTTTTCTTTCTATCCCCATCAAGAGAGAAAATCAAGAGAGAAATACAGGTGCTCTTCAGGTGGAAGACCATATGATCAATAGTGCTCTAAAAGAGACATCATCATTATGGCTAATTGAGGTACGCTTTCGCATTTAGTTTACAACATGTTTATGAGTATGTGATTACTTTATATTTGATCGTTAGATTGAAGATCATATTTAATTATAAGTTTACCTAGCAGTTATCGATTCCTAACAATATTAATATCAATAAATACATAATAATAATTACTATTTATTTAAAATTTTATAAAAATTTGTATGAATATTGTTGGAAGTCTCATATCGCATGTCTCGTATAAGTTGTTATGGTTTAAAATATAAAAAAAAATCAATTTTAATTTTAAAAATATTTAGAAATAAAATTATAAATTTATTTAAAAAAAATAAAAAACTTTATTTTCTGAAAAAAAAAACCCAAAAAAATTATTGTATCATTAACCTACGTAAGATTAAAGATCAGATATCACTATTTGGAGTCAAACCTTTTTTCTCGTCTGAGAGAGTAAGGTTGTCAATATTCTAAATGAGTAAAAAAAAAACGTAAGAGTATCACGACAAACAATAAATATATATATTCCTCTTCAATTAGTTACATTCATTTATTATTATACATTTATTTTTATATTAGGTAAAAATAAAATATAAAAAAACCTTAAAATTAATTTTTGTAAAATGTAAATTTTAAAATTCTTCCAAACATTTAATTTAAAACATTTTTTATGTATTTATAAATTTGATAAAGAAAATTAAAATAATAAATTACAAGAATAATAAAAATAAGATACATGACTAGGGAAAACATACAATTGAATGAGAGATTACGATAAAAGAAATTATTAATCATGTAATGAAAAGATCTTATAGAACTATCAATAAGATGAACTTTTTAAGTTTGACTATAATTTGTTTCTAACTCGTTATGATAATATTTAAAGAAGAGATATTTTCAATACTAAAATTTGTCCATCAATGTTTTGGGTTTATTTCATATTTATAAAGTATTAATACTATAATTTTAATTCTAAATTACAACACAAACAACTAAATTTACTGTAATGATAAATTTTTAGGACTTAAACTACTGCTTAATTAATGTAAGTGATTGAATTTTGTAAGTGAAATTTAGTGCTTAAAATCGTAGAATTTCTAAAAAAATACTAATAATTTCATTAAAGTTGATGAGAAAGTATTCAACCTTTTCTTATTAGTTAAATAATACTTTCTTAAAAAATTTAAAACAAATTTATAAATTAAAATTAAAA